GAGACTGGGTCTCACTATGTAGTTGAGACTGACCTGGAACTCACTGTGTAGCCCAGGATGGTCTCGAACTCACAGCGCTCCTCCTGCCTCAGCCTCCCGAGTGCTGGGATTACAGGCGTGCGCCACCACGCCTGGCCGAGCCCCTAAGTCTTTACAGAGAAGAAAAGACAGGGAGAGGAACCTAAGAAACAGATATACCCTATAATGGGGATCAATCCTCATTCTCAGCCAAATCCCACAACCACCCTGCTAAATAGCTGCAAGGTGGGGAGTGCAGCCACATCTGGATTGCAGAGCCTCAGAGTGGGCCTCTGGATTAACACCCTGGGTCATGTGTAAGGCACGTCATGGCATGAAGGCTGGAACATCAAGGTTGCGGCTTGTCAGAACCAGAAAACGGAAAGGCTGGTTCTATCACAAGTCTCAGAGGTTGCTTGAGAATAGCCAACTGAAGACAAAAGTGGCAGCAACAGCTACTGTGCTCTTAACAATGAAGAGCCTACGTTTCTCTGAACTGTATCATGGATCCTGTGATCAGCAATGCTCTGGCTGAGTGGAACAGACAGAGCCCTGCAATGCTTGGAATAGCTGACACGGACAGGTCCCTTCCCAAATCCCAATACCACTGGCTCCTGTCCTCCCTGTATATGTGGCAGATATGTGGCCTTGATCTGACCAGGGGAGGGGGGACATTTTATGAGTACTTACTGAGCGACAAGGTCTTGACCTAGCACAGGGATGGTGAACCACTTCGAGATGAGTGCCCAAACTGCAACCCAAAACCCATTTATTTATCGCAAAGTGCCAACACTGCAGTTAAACCTGAATACTGAGGTTTTGATTTAGAAAAAACAATCCATACATTAACATCTTTTGTCTTAAAAGAAAAAACAATACATGTGCCATAGGTTCTCCACCACTGACCAAAAGGACTGCATACACATCCTGTGGACAGTCTACACGGCAGACAAAACCGTCAGTGGAAACAGGTTTGAAAGACTTAGGATTGACTCTTTTTGCTTTCACTCTTCATTTTTTGGTGGAGAACATAACTCATATTGAGAATAAAGTTATTTTTAAAAGAAGACTAGAAAACTCCTCTGAATGCTTGACACCCTTCCTCACCTGCAGAGCATGCCTCTGCTCCCTAACTGTCCAGTGGAAGTGTAGCAGAAAGCACAGCAGGCACTCAAGATCTGAGCACACCCAGCCAGCCTACCACTCCAAGGCCAGCTGAGTCTACTCTAATCACTATCAAATGGCAGGGACAGAAAGCCTGCATCTCCTTCCAACGCCTGAAGCCCTGTTCCTGTCACTACTCTAGACCCTTGATGACTGCCTGCTGCCTATCATTGCTTCACTGCTTTGTGCATGTCTGTCTGCTTTTCCAATAGGACCAGAAGGCCCAGAAGCCAGGAAGCAGCAAGACCTACACATCCTTTGTCTCTCCAAAGCACCAGAACAAGAGCCAAGAATACAGTTGGTGCTTAGTCACCACTGATCTCATGTGGCATTATGACGTGAGGACTACAGGCTCCAATGGGCCAAGAGAGCAGAGCTACAAACCCAGGTCTCCCACAGGCAGGCACGCTCTGGCAGCTTGGAACCTCAGAAGTTACTAAATACCTGCTTGAGTCTCAGATTTAAAAAAAAAAAAAAATCAATTAACTAAGATTGACACCACTTGTATATGAGTGTGGTGCACAGGAGCCTATAGCAGGGGCGGCTCCCGCGGACGCCTCCAGTTCTGAGCAGCAGGGAAGGAGCACTCACCTGGGTTCCTCTGGGCACAGTACAGACTCTCCTTGGCTGTGGACTTCACTGACCAGCTCCGTTCCATGAAAAACTTCTGGCCCAGCGGATGGCAGAGCCAGCGCAGAGAATCTGGGATGGCACTGTGCTCTGGGCCACACAGGCTCTGGGCATGACTGAGGAAATAGTTCTGTGGAAGAACAAGGGGTACACATGATTCCATGGTGGCTGAATGCTGACTGCATCCCTTGTGGAGTCACCTAAAACATCGGAATGGAGGCTGCTGGGGGAATAGGGGGCTGGGGCAATGAGACCACAGAGGGCAGGGCCTGCACTGAAATTAGGGCAAATGGCTTTCCTGGGGAGCCTGTCATACCTAACAATCAGGTCGCAAATCCAGCAGGGGAAGGGAAGAGTGGCCCAAGACACAGGTGGGGCTCCTGCTGCATCCTGTCCCACTGGGCCTAACCCTTCTGGAATCCAAAGAGCCTGCTGGCACTCAAACTGCACAGGAAGGTGAGAGCAGTCTACCAAGGGAGGGTATCCCAGAGGTCCCCTGCCCATACTTCCCCCTCAACCCTCTGAGTGCCAAGCTCACCAAGTCCTGGGACTTTTTCTTGTGCCACTTTCATTACCAGTCCTTTAAAGTATTTTCAGGCAATAAACAAACAAACAAACAAACAAATAAAGTATTTCCAGGTAAACTCATATTCAGCTTTAACTAATTCTCCATCTCTTTCACCTCTGAGTATAAAGCGCTTAAAAGAGGGCTCAGCATAGAGGTCACTAATACACCTGACAGCACTGGAGAGGAGGAACAGCTCCTTCAGAAAGCCTCCCTCGGATCAGTCCCATCCCAGAGAAAAGTCCATAGGGACAGCCTCTTGCCCACGATCTAAAACACCAGTGCTCCAGTCTCCATGCCTACTGCACTGCTAGGATAAAATCATTTCAAGGCCTTAGGGACAAGAATGCAGAGACAATGTTGTGTGTCACATGTTTTCAGAAGTTCTGTCATTTTTTTTGAGTGAGGATATCCTATCTCTAAAATTCTAAATATGATTTCCAATCTGTAAAGCTACCTGACACAGGCCAATCTGAAGAGGGAGCTGAGCAGAGAAGGATGAGGAGGGATGATCATGGACAGAGCTCCAGACAGAGCTCACAAAGCTTGGGGCAGAGGTTGCTGGGCCACAGGCAGGGACCTCCTTTCATTCCAGCCACTGCCCCCACAGAGTGCAGTCATCCCACAGTTTGCTTTAGTCTCTTGGATCTGACCTTTACTGGGCTCTGAGCAGCCATCAGCTAATGTAACAGCTTCAGAAGACTTGGAACGCCAGGGTCAGAAATAGCATGGCCATGGCGCACCAGTCAAGGACACAGACAGGAAGACTGCCTTTCTCCAGGGGATGTGGAGACAGCTGCTCGAATCTAAGCAAAATGATCTGGCCAAATGCTCTAGAGACACAGATATTCAAATGGTAGCCTGGAGATGAGGGGGACATTTCCCCTAAATTTCTCATTACAGGGCCAGTGACACTAGCATGACCTCCTGCTAGGACCTGAGCTAGGACCTGAGCTAGGACCTGCAAAAGTGGGAGAACAGCAGCTGAGCTGTGAGGGGGAGAGGCATGGTTGGCATGGGGAGAGGGAGTATGGGGAGCTGGGGTGTGATCCCAGGGCCTCTAATGTTCCAAGCCCTTGTAATAATGGCCAATGCTGAGGACCAACTGAAGGACTCAAATGTCAGACAGACTCAGAAATAAAGCTGGGTTAGGTCCTACAGCAAGAGAAACCCACACAGCCCATTTAGGAAATCATTAAGTTAAAATATGCTTTTACACCGAATTCTTAAAGAAACACTAGCTATAACGGATCTCAGGGACTGGGGAAGTTTGAGTTTAGTGATTGGAGCTAATAAGAAATATAAATCTGGGATAGGCAGAGCCATAGTCTGGCTTCTGTAAGGGAAATTAAGAAAATAACTTCTGCTGCTCTTTTAATTTTCTCGGCATGATACTCTTATGATAATTTTCCTTAAAAAAATTATTTAAAAAAAGGTCCTAAATTTTTAAACATGAGCGTTCTCCCAGGCTGGAGCCCAGGAGCCTTCTCTGTAACCCACCTGCTAAGTACCTCACGTGAGAGGCCACCGCAGAAGCCCCTGAGCTGTTCAGATCCTGAGAGCCACCCAGTACTCTTGAGCCAGTTCCAATTCCAAGCTGTGCATCCCCTACACCTGGCTAGCCCTAAAGCTCTCAAACTGTGCTAAGAGACCTGGGTATCTTAATCTGTACCTCCTGAGGGAACTGGGCAGAAAGGGCCAGTTGCCTCAGAGATTGCAGCTCCTCTTCTCCATTTTACTGAATATGAAAATTAGGCAGAACTATTATAGCTGTGAATATTTATATCCTTTGACCCAACATCATCATCTCTAGAGAGTTAATCTGAGGAAGTTCTCACAGAGGTGTGTGAAGACAATGTACCAAGATGCTTATGCAGCAGTTTGAAACAGCAAAACCATAAACGCTTCCAATGTCCCTCAGCATCACCTACTACCTCTGCAGGATAAGGAGAATACAAAGATGCCTGAGATCTATTATTAGGATGGAAAAGCGAATGGCAAAACAGGGTTTGTGTCAGGCCTGTGGTGGCACATGCTTATAATCCCAGCACTCAGGAGCCTGAGGCAGCAGGATCACCATGAGTTTGAGGCCAGCCTGGGCTATATAGTGAGTTCAAGATCAGCCTGAACTACACTGTGAGACCCTGCCACCTGCCTTGCAAGCACAAGGACCCGAGTTTGATCCCCAGTACCAAAACCAAAACCAAAACAAACAAACAAACAAAAAAAAACAAAACAAAACAGGGTTTATGGTATGACTATGTGAAATAAATGACAATGTATATATGTTAGTACATGCAGGAAAAAGTTCTGAGGAAATAAAGCTAAACCAACCTCTGTTGTTAGGCCTACAGAATATTTTCACAGGATTCATGGGCAAGGGCAACTTTTTTTTTTTTGGTACCAGGGATCAAACTCAGGAATCTGTGCTTGCAAGGCAGGCGGTTTACCACTGAGCTAAATCCCCAACCCATCTTTGTTTTTTTCTTTTTGTAATAAAGTCTTGCTATGTTGCCTCCGCCTCAGCCTGCTGAGCAGCTGGGATTATTGGCACGTGCAACTGCACCCAGCCTTTGGGAACAATTTTATTGGGACTCTTTCCTGATTCTCTCTGCCACACAAATGCCAATCTCAAATGGTCTCCCTGAGTCCTTCTTAAATGCAGTTGCTTCTTAGCAATAAGGACAACTGAATCCCGGAGGGGATTCTGGGATGACAAAATAATCTCAAAGTTTATATGGTAAAGTTAAGAGCAAAAAGCCATCCTAAAACTGGAAGACCAACACTTCCAGATATTGAGACATTCAACAACAGAGCTACCAGGGCTGTGTACAATGAATGGGACAGACTGGAGTGCAGAAGACCTGCAACACAGACATTCAATTTATGAAGAAAGACCTACTCAGTGCAATGGAGGAAGGACGGTTTAAAAAAATAACAGGCACTGGGTCAGGAAAACAGCCAGATTTGGGGGAGATCAATCTTGAACCCCTTCTTCCAACTAATAACAGAAAATTCCAGTGGATTTGAGGGTCTGTGTGTACAGAACAAGGAATACGGCTTGTAGTAGACAACATGGGAGAATTATCTTCCTAACTCTTGCACAGGGTTAGGGTTATTAAACAGGACACAAAATGGCTAATTGTAAAAAAGATAATCTGGATTTCATTAGCTCAGGGTCTTGTGTTTACCAAAAGACATCATTAGAGGGACATGGTGACACATGATGCCTGTAATGGCAGCACTTGGGGGGCCGAGGCAGGAGGATCACTGTGAATGAGGCCAGCCTGGGCTACACAATGAGTTCAAGGCCAGGTTGAACTACATAGCAAGACTCCATCTCAAACAAACAAACAAACATCATTAACAAAGAGAATACATGTCTACTATAATTTCAGCACTGTGGAAGCTGAGGCAGGAGGACCACAGTTCAAGTCAATTCTAAGTAACTCAGTGATTAGAGAGACCTTGTCTCAAAATAAAAAACAGAGCTGGGATGTAGCTCGGTGAAAAGGCCCTGGTCTAATCCTTACTATGAGAGGGCCATGGACAGGCATAGAGAGAATGAATATGAATTGGCAAAGCATAAATCCAACAGAGGATCACATACAGAACAAAACTCCATCAATAAAAAGTCAAGACACAGAGGCTATGACTGTAGCTCAGTGGTGGAGTTTTCTTAACATGTAACCTTAACTCCACATGACAATATAGGCCAGCCTAATACATGACAACGAGCAAAAGAAGTCACAGGAAACAGTAACACTGTATGACTCTCCTAACACAAAGTTTATTTTTTTATTTTGTTTTTGTTTGTTTGTTTGTTTCTTTGTACCGGGGATTGGATTGAACTCAGGTCCTTACACTTGCAAAGCAGGTGGCGGAACCACTGAGCCAAATCCCCGGCCCCACAAAGTTTAAATAGTGGCCAAATACGTGAGTGATCAGGACGCTGGTCGCCACTGGCTGGAGGACTCACAGAAGGGGCAGTTTAATATCTGCAAGGAGGCTTCTGAGGTCTTAGTTCTATTTTTTTTCTCAGTACTGGGGATTGAAACCAGGGAGTACGAAGTTGTATCTCTGGCCCTTCATACTTTATTGAGATGGGGTCTCACTAAATTACCTGATGATGGCCCCTGAACTTGCCATCTTCCTGCCTCAGCCTCCCAGATAGTGGAATTACAGGTATGTACCACCATACCATGTAGCTTGGTTCTGTTTCTTGATCTGTTCGCTCATTAGATTGTTTACTTTGGCAGGTCACTGACCAGTGTGTTTATTATGTGTGTACTTATCTACAGTCATATTGTACCTTAATAAAAGACTCACAAAAACAGGCTGAGTGTGGTGGTACGTGCCACTAATCTTAGCTACTTGGGGAACAGGGAGAAGGGGGGCTAAAGGGGGTTTCTAGGAACATTCTCCTTCTTGATCTAGATGGTCGTTACACAGGTGACTTCCTTTTGTGGCTCTCCTAGACTGCTGAGATGTACTTCAGGAAACTGACACATCAGCACAGGCCACATTCCTGTTCATTCTTCGCTCATCACCTCAATTACCAAAGTACAGAAACAAGCGAAGTGATAATTCCATTCTACCTAGTAATTCCAACATACCTAATGTGTTCAGCAGTCTACCCAAAGTAGGGCATTAAGTAAAATATGCAGGTATCTGCTAGAGTAAGGGAAAGCCTGAGGTCAGCATGCACTGTGAACTAGCTGATAACAGGATAGGAATCAGCCAGCTGTGAATGCCCAAGGTTGGCAGCTCGCCAGGCATACTGGAAACACTTGATAACCTTAGTTCCTACCCCAGGTCTGACCTGAGCTCCTTGGAGATGGGCACTGATTTTCATTTCTGGATCCACAGAGCTGTGATCAATACAAGGTGGCCAACAGAGGAAATAAAAAGGAAATTCCAAGACTGAAAAGTGGGATAATAGCTCCCAAGCAGTCATGCAGTAGCACTGAACCAATCTTCTTACCACAGGATGCCAGGATGTCCTGCTTGCAAAGCTTATGCCTGTCAGGGCCAGGAGGGGAGGAATCATGATCGGTCTCATTCACTATTCTAGGTACTTGTGGGACCAGAGGGTGTATGAATGCCCACCCCTCTGGGTGGTGGGCACCTGATGGCAAGGACCATGCACTGTTTTAACTCCTGGCTAGGGAAGGTGTGCAGCACAGGTCCGTGGAAGAACGCCAAAGGGTACTCACAGCCAGGAAGCCCAGTCTGCCACCACACCGGGTCTTGAGCCCCATGGCAGCTGTCAGATGGATCTCCACCAGTGTGCTTGGTGGGATTTTCTCCTCAGCACACTCCGCCAGGTTCACAGCACACAAAGCCATATGCACATCTGAGCATGGAGACCCTGCAGGAAGCTTCCCTAGGGCAGGCAGAAACAGATACCAATGTTGACAGATCCACCAAAGCAAGCATTTCCCTGCTTTCTCTCGTGCCATCACAGTAGGGATGTCACGAGAGAAAGAAGGAGGTTTGTCATCAGACAGGCCTGCATGTGATGCCTGCTCTGCCACCTCCTAGCTGTGTGCTTCCATTTATCTCCCAGTGTGGGTGAGGACAAGGCACCTGGCTCTGTCCTAATTGTTGTAAAGGACTCAGAAGGGCACAGTGCAACATGTATAAACAGCATGGCCACATCCTGCTGATATAGTACCAAGTCTCCAAACATTTCAATGGAGGTAATGAAAAAGTAAAAGAACAAAGCAAAAATCAAAACAAATTTGAATTTTTTTTGAATTTTTAAAAAAATCTCCCCACAACAAGCTGGTGTGGTGGTGTACTCCTATAATTGCAGCACATAGTAGTCTGAGGCAGTGACTGCTCTGAGTTCAAAGACAGTCTGGGTTACACAGAGGGACACTGTCTCAAACTCATATATGTAAGAACCCATCCCATGAGGGGGAAGTAACAATACTGAGCAACGATGGCTGGACACATGATGTGACAGTAGGCAGAAGGCCCAGAAAGGCCTACTGTGCTCGCTCTCCCCTATGAAAAGTACACAGCAGCTCCTCTGGGGGCAGTCATGAGGCTCAGGGACAAAGTGCACCTACACAGGCCCAAGAAGCCATTGTGGCTGTCCTGAGGCTTTCATAAACTCATTAGCTTTGGTCCTTGCTCCAGCAGTGGGAGACAGCAAAGTCAGGTGTCCCATCTCACTCTGATCTGTGCTCCTCCAACTGGGCCATCTCTTCTTAGTCAGCATATAGAACCCCCAGATCCACAGTTCATTCTGTACTGTCCCAGGGTATTTGTCTCTTCTGTGAGGCAGTGTGCAGTCACCTCTGTCCCTCGGTGCCTCTCCTGGGCTGTGGCCCAGAAACTGCTCAGCTCATGTAGAGGGGATGAGTGACATGAAGCTCCCCAGCTGGAATTCTCTAGAACTTGACAGCCAGGAGGACACAGTCTCCTGATCCAAGACCTGTGTTGGGGTTGTCGGTTCCAAGGCCATGTGGAGGGGCAGATTTGCAGGAACTTGCTGAAACACTTCTGTTAAAAGCACACATTTGGCCCACTGTCTCATCTCTGGTCACTTCTCCATCTGTACTGCCTGGGTCCACTCAACTTCTGCTTGAAGGTCCTGAAGCCTCTAGGGATTTCTGACACTTTCCTGAGGACCACGTCCCAGTCTCTGGCCTCACCCTACCACCCTGTCCTCGCTCCCTCAATACCACGCATATCAATTCTCCTCTGACCCCTCTCTCTGCCCCCTGTTAGTGTAAAGAACAGGTAGTGCACACCTCAACCCCAGAACTCTGCCTGTCTTTACACGAGGCACTCCCTGATGTCAGCATCTTGGGTTTTTGTTCACCCTTGTAGGCCCAGAACCCATTTTCTGTTCTGGGTTGCAGGTTCTACTGATCCAGCTGCCTACAGAATAGCTTCCCTCTTGTGTCACACTGTCAAGTGTCCAAAAGAGAGTGGCACCTTTCTCCAAGAAAACCACCCTTCCTCCAGTTTCCTTCACCTCTCTGGGTGGTAACACAGTCCCCCTAAACCCCCAAGCAGGAAGCCAAGGAAGGCTAGGCATGGTGGCACACACCTGTAATCCCGACACTTGGGAGGCTAAGACAGGAGGATCACCATAAGTTCAAGGCCAGCCTGGGCTACATAGTGAGTTCAGGGCCATGTCTTACAACAAAACAACAGAAGCTAAGGAAATGTCCTAGCTAGTTCCTTTTCTTACCCATCACATCCCGTGACTCTCCAAGTCAAGCCAATTCCACCTGCTAATTTCCTCTCCATGTGTCCCCTTCAGCATCTCTTATTTTGAGGCTGTAGCCAATCTCTATCTGCTACTCCCCAAAATTCAGAAGCACCAATCTGATCAGGTCACTAATTTCCTAATGACCTTCCCTGGATCCTAGGATACATAAAATGCACAATCCTTAGCCTGGCAGCCACATCCTTCCTGCCCCTGTGTCTTGGCTCCATCATCCTTTCCTTGCATGGTTCCTTCCAGGGACTACTCAAGCACTCTTTTAAGGGCTGCTTAAGAGGGGGCTCCTCTTTTGAGCTATCTCTCTGCCCTTTAGAGCTGCTGTCCTCTATGTCCTCCCAGAAGTCAAGGCTTTGAAATGTCTTGGCCTCCGAACAGCCCAGTGAAATGTGCTCTGTCTGCTGAGCCTACCACACTAGATGAAACTGTCTCCAAATGCTGGCCTGTCCACCTCCCCACCAGAGCAGAAGCTTACTGAATCAAATAAATGATCCTATTTCATTCCTCATCTAAGATGAGATTTTTAAGTGCCAATTTTAATTTAAATATCACTGCCAGTGAATGCATGATGCGCAATGTCTGTATGACACTGAAATTGTACAGATGTTACTTTGACAAAAACGTGCATCTTAGAAATGATAAATTGCAGCTATGAGAAAGCAGTTTGAAGACTGGGCTAAAAAAGCAGTATAAAAGAGGCTTCAGCCAGGGTGGAGACCTAATAAGCCAAGCTACGGAGGAGATGGCATGGGCACCTTGCCACAAGCCAGGATGTAGCAGTCACTCTCACCTGTGATATGCAGCTGGTGCAGCCTATGATAGGCCAGGGCCGCATCCCGTGCACTGCTCTTAGCCTCATCCTCAAAGCCAGCTGCAGTGGCGGGTGTGGCTCGCCAGCGCTGGAAGACTTTCTTGAGCAACCAGCGCACCAGGCGCAGCTTCTGGAGGCTGTAGCGGATCACATTCCAAGAAAGACTGCAGGCCAGGTCCAGGCGGGAAGTGGGCAGTGCGCGACCCAAAACTGACAGGCAGGTCTGTAGGTTGGCCGCAGCAGCTGCAAAATCCCCCTATAAAGCAGCAAGAGAATGTAAGGGTTACTGGCCTTGCTACGGTCTTTTTTCGGGGGGGGCGTGGTGAGACAGGGTCTCACTATGTAGTTGAGACTGACCTGGAACTCACTATGTAGCCCAGGCTGGTCTCGAACTCACAGCGATCCTCCTGCCTTAGCCTCCCAAGTGCTGGGATTACAGGTGTGCGCTACCATGCTCGGCTTTATGGTCTTTGTTTTAATAGATTTCTACTCTCCCAATCATTATCAGAATAATACATGACCAGTAATAAAAATCGGAAACATTGAAAATCTATGAAGAAAAAAAGAAATCACCTGTACTCTTATCCCTTAGAATCACTGTGAACATTCTGAAGTATTTCCCATCTTGGGAACAGGACCCCTCCAATTATATGTGTACTTTAGGACCCACAGCTTGGCCCTGGGTGACAGATCCAGGTTGGCCAATCAGATTGTTAACTGAACCTACTTCAATTTATAGGAGAGAGGAGGGGAAAACAGGCTCAGTTTACTGCTAAGGAGTGTTCTGGTTCACATGCCTCCCTCCCTTCCTTCCTTATTTATTGCTACTGGGAATAAAACTCAGGGACCCACACTTGCCAGGTAGATGCTGCATTGCTGAGTTACATTCCCAGCTCACTTAACTCTCCTTTAATGCTGTGATTACCACAGAGTCCTTTGCATAAAATACCCTTGCTGATTTCAATGAAAAATTTCAGCTAATTTTCTTGCTCAAAAATCTTCACTGGGCCAGGGATTTAGCTCAGTGGCGCCACACCTGCCTGGCAAGTGCAAGACCTGAGTTAGATTCCCGGTACCAAAAAAAAAAAAAAAAAAAGTAGATTTCTGAATTAAACAGCATCTACTAACTACTAAAAAAGTCTTCCCTGCTTCTCCAGAGAACTGGAAACAAACCTTAAATCAGTTATGAGTCAAAGCCTTCTCAAATTTGAGACCAGCCTTTGCCCCATCTCTGTGACATATTCCACAATCCAGATACACCCATCAAACTTGCCGTCTCCAAGCAGTCCATCCTCCCTGTGCTGGACAACTCCATTCACACCCCAGGGCCCTCAGCTGGAACTCCTCTCTCTCTACCCCAGACTCCCACAAGCACTTCATTCTTCCAGTCATACTACAGAAAACAGATCATCTCATGCCTACAGCATCATCTATGTATGAGTACCCTCTCTTCCACTCCTTGTGACTACTATTCAGGCACAGGGTCCCTTTTTCCTTCAGTCATCATAGCACCTGCCACAGGACTTCATCCTCAGTGGGTTCTCAACACCAGCCACTGAGTTCTTAGCCAGGCCTGGGTGAAGATGAGGAAAAGTAGATGACAGAACTCACCCTGGCAAGGTCCACGTCTGCTTGCTTCCGGTGCCGCCAGAAGGTGACTGAGGAGCGCGAGTGTGGCCGGATCACTGGCTCCCCATGGACCAGCAGCTTCACAAAGACGCTCAGGACAATCACACCATTTACCAACCACAGAAGGAGTGTTGGCATCATCCAGTCTAACCAGCCCACAGAACCTAAAGAGGGGCAGTGTTCCAGCTGAGCCTGACAGACCCCAGCAGCGTGACAATAAGGAGCCTTCTACCTCATTTCCAGAAAGGGTGGACAGTTCTGCAGCCTAAATACAAATCTTTGCAGTGCTCAGCACCATGGAGCCAAGTGCCATAAAAATCCCAGCCAAAGAGAGTTAGGACCTTGGTCTCACAACTCAGGTAAAGAACAACCCATCTGCATGCCGTCAGGCCAGGTACCTCCTACTCTTCTACACCCCCAACTCCTCCTCTCCCCCAGAATGGGTCATTATAGCAGTGCAGGTTCCTGTTTTGTTGCTTTTTTCCAACTGAACTTGGGTTTTACCTGTTGTTTCTAAAATGTAACTTATGCCAGTCTCTGTCAAAAGGGAGTGGTGGTTAAGGACTACTAATTTGGGACCTGCTACTTTAACCCTATGGTTTGTACACCAAGTCCTTCTCCTGACACAGCAGTTACCTACACCCAAGTAGCATGAGGGGGGACCCCACCTACCTGACTCGACTGACAGCACGCTGCGGCTAGAGCCCGAGTATGGATGCTGGTCTGAGTCTCCAGCACCTCCCCACTGCAGCAGGGAAGTCAGGGGATTAAAGGAGAGGCCCAGGAAGGTGAGAACACACAGCAGAATCCGAGAGCGGTCCACCATGCCCAGCGCTACAGGAGGGGAGTCCGGTTCATCTTTGACCTTCAAAATAGGGCCTCAGGGTTGGAATGAATACTGTATGGGTTTTTACAGCATTTTACTTTTATATATGTACCAGGAGATAGACCGTGAGGCTTAAAATTCAAGACAACTAAGTTAGACAAGGAACAAAGCTAGGGAGGATCTAAGAAGTTCACAATTCATAAACTTGCTCAAACACCGGACCATTCTCCCTCTTGCCTACTGAGAAAAGTACATGTTCCAAAGAACAAATGCAGAAGAATTTTCTTTTAAAATCGACCTCTACCACAAAAGAGAACACACTGCATGATTCAATTTCTATAGAATTCCAGAACAGGCAAAGCAAATCTGGTGACAGGAAGTGGATGAATCAATAGGGGCCTGATGCTGGAGGGAGTATGAACCACCTCCCAAGGTTTGGGAAAGAGCTCTTTGGGGTGATGGAAACGCTCTACATTTAGACCATAGTGATAGCTGTATAAATACACGTGTGTGTTAAAACTCCTGGCACTGTTCACTTAAAATAGTATATTTTATTGCATTTGTTTTTATCTCAATAAATATGATCAAAGAACATTCTTAGCATAGATCTATCTAAAGAAATTAAAACAGTGCTTTTTTTTCTTTCTCCTCCCATTTTACAGAGGAAGAAATGAGGCAGAAGCCTTGACAGCCTAGAGAAGCCACAGGGTGCAGGGAATAAGGCGGGACTCAGATTTTTCCTGGATTCTCATGTGGATATACCATTAGGCTCCTTTCTAGCACTTGAAAATTTATTCTGATGACTCAAGAAGCCTAGCCAGTTCAACTTGTATGTCATATAAGCTACTGTTCTAAAACAGAATCATATCTATAAAATATTTTAAAAATAGTTTCGTTACTAAGTATCTGATATAATAAACAGCATAGCCAAAAACATACTATATCAAACTCTGCTTTTAGACTCAGAAACTGCCAGTGTCAGTATATAGTATAGGACCCAGTGGTCTCTACAGGTTCCTAGAAAGATCATTAGGCTCAGAGCCTCTTTTAACTAATCCCATCAAACTTCAATTGCCAGGGGCTTTTTTTTTTTTTTGACAATTAAAAGCCCTTGGCTGGAATGTTATCTGTTAGATTGCAAATTGTAGTCATTTCCAGAAAGTAGACCCAGAAGCAGCTTCCTCTTAAACCAACTGATCAGCCTCCAAGTGGTCTTGCCAGGCCCATTACAGGCAGAGAGGTAATGAGGCGCCTCCAGCAACTCCCAGAGCCCACTGCCTGACAGCTGCTCCCTCCTGTGTCCTCATTCTAGGTCTGGCACTGGTTCTTCTCTGGCGGATCCTTTTTTTTTTTTTTTTTTTTGGTTTTTTAAGACAGGGTCTCACTATGCAGTTGAGACTGACCTGGAACTATGTAGCCCAGGCTGTCTCGAATCACAGTGATCCTCCTGCCTCAGCCTCCCGAGTGCTGGGATTACAGGCGTGCGCCACCACACCCGGCAGACAGATCCTTTTAGTAAAGAACAGTTAAACCTGAAGGGCTGTGTTCCCACAACCAAAATGTTTTTTTCTCACTTTCCAGGACCTCACTAATTCCACAGAATTCCCATTCCTCTCCATCTAGGCCCTCTTAACACCTGGACTATTTTCTTAGAGAAAATGGACAAGATTCCAAGGGTTAGGAGATTTTAAACACCTGTACCTTTGCATCATCCAAAAGAGGACTTCCTGGCTCAGAGTCAATGGAGTAGGGGGAGAAGCCAGCCTGGGACCCCGAGTCAGAGGCTGGGGGGGACATCAGAAGGACATTCTGATTAAAGTCATCAATCTTCAGGTCCACGTCACTGTCCACCAGACTGCCTAGGTCAATGCCCTTCAGGAGCTCTGCAAAGAAAATTGCAGCTGGGATAGGACTGGGCTGGGCAGGCCTGGGACACAAACATGTGTCCTCCCTGCACCTGCTCCATACGAATAACACTTTCTTAAGGAGCACACTTACTGTTTTTCTGATTTGCCAGCTTTAGTACCATGTTCTCCTGGCGCAGTTTATGATTAACCTGCTGTAAATATTTGATATAATCAATAGCCTTCCTCAGAACGCCAGACTTGTGCATCTGGGAAAGAAGAAAGCAAAACACTGTGAAAATCAGTGCAAGCCAGAACGGAGAGAACCATGCCCAGAGAGTGTGGATATGGAGCCCAACTGTGGTGTACAAGATGCTGGTCCAAACACTAACTACCTAGCACTAGATACTCCCTATCTCTGAACCTCATTTTGGTTCTCAACATAGGGATAAGGATATCAGGTGAATCCCAGGCTGGCAATGAGGGCTAAATGAGACAGAATGTGTAAAGAGCTTAGCCTCACACCTAGCACATGATCAACACACAACACCAAAACAAACTTTAAAGAAATGACAAAAAACTATAGCACTGGTATGTAGCTCAGTGGTAGAGCACTTGCCTAGCATGCATAAGGGCCTGAGTTTGATCCCCAGCTTGACAAAAACAAAAGTGAACCAACTAACAACAATGAAACAACATTGATGATCTTTATTTTACTTTATTTTGAGTCTAGGTCTTGCTATGTAGTTCAGGCTGGCTTTGAACTCACTATGTATTTAAGGCTGGGCCTTACCTCACATCCATCCTGCCTCAGCCTCAGCTTTATTTTTTGGAGGTTGAAAGGTTTTCTTAAGTAACACTATATACTTAAGACCTATACCTTTTAGCCAGGTGTGGTGGTGCATGCTCACTCATAATCCCAGCACTTGGGAGGCTGAGGCAGGAGGATCGCTGTGAGTTCCAGACCAGCCTGGGTTACATAATGAGACTCTGTCTCAAAAAGCCAAAAAAAAAAAAAAAAAAAAGGACATATACCTTTTAGATTTCTAGGCTACAAGGAAAATCAAACTTTCTTTCACAGTAAGGATGAAAGTAAACAGGTAACAGTAAAAAAAAAAAAAAAAAAAAAAAAAAGGACATATACCTTTTAGATTTCTAGGCTACAAGGAAAATCAAACTTTCTTTCACAGTAAGGATGAAAGTAAACAGGTAACAGTAAAAAAAAAAAAAAAAAAAAAAAAAAGGACATATACCTTTTAGATTTCTAGGCTACAAGGAAAATCAAACTTTCTTTCACAGTAAGGATGAAAGTAAACAGGTAACAGTAAAAAAAAAAAAAAAAAAAAAAAAAAGGACATATACCTTTTAGATTTCTAGGCTACAAGGAAAATCAAACTTTCTTTCACAGTAAGGATGAAAGTAAACAGGTAACAGTAAAAAAAAAAAAAAAAAAAAAAAAAAGGACATATACCTTTTAGATTTCTAGGCTACAAGGAAAATCAAACTTTCTTTCACAGTAAGGATGAAAGTAAACAGGTAACAGTAAAAAAAAAAAAAAAAAAAAAAAAAAGAAAAAAAAAATCTTTTTGCCAAGAGGTACATTAATCTAAATACTAGAAATATGTGAAAAATCAATTTTCCTTGTTTGCTGTTGGTCATAGACTCAATGTGCACTTTCTTTCTCTTCTTCCCTAAAAGGTAAAATATTGCTAGCTACCAATGAACATTGCTAAAAGCCAGTGATGCACTCAGCTGCCCCAGGTACAGCCAGTCCCCTACACTGGGATTCCTGATGCCTGCAAGAGTCAAAGGTCCCAGTAGGTCCCTGCTTTACCAATCCCCAACAAGTTATGTTCTGTTTTTGGTATCGGAGATCAAACTCGGGTCCTTGCAATTGCAAGGCAGATGTGGTGCCACTAAACTAAATCCCCAGCCCTACAAGTTATTTTAATTAATATTTGTATTAGTATTTTATAATCTTGACAAATACCAAGATATTTTAATAAGAAGGCCACCTCTAACTCACTCTTATGTTCACTCAGTTTAAACCCAGGATCTCCTTAACTTCCATGGCAAAGACAAGTAGAGGGGAAATGGCAGAGCATGAAATACCACTTTGCTGGGCACCTACCTTAGCATCTGTACCCATGACTAGGTCCTTCAACTCAATGATTTTGTCATTGATGGAGGACCGATAGCGCTTCTCGATGATATTGTGTGTTGTCCGCCTCTCTCCTTCTTTGGGGGGCTCAAGCTGCTTGACTCCCCCAGGCACTTGCTTAATGGGCACTTTCTCTTGTCCCATCATCACAGGCATGGTTGTCAGAATGGTGCCACTACTGCCCACCAGGGTCTAGAACAGGGGCAGAATTGCATCTTTGTGAGTCTGAGTCAAGCAACGTCACACCACAAAGCTGCTTGCCCTGGAAGTGTGGTGTCAGCTGGTGCTGCTATGTGATCTAGGACCCTCCTGTGATAATTACAGAAGGCCCCGAAAGGCCTCAGGAGCTACAGCATCTCAGTTACTACCTCTCTTTCAGAATCACTGTTGAGAAATCATATGATTAGAAGATTAATATGATTAAATATGCCTTAACTTCTCACTTCTATTTTTTTTCCCCACAGGACCTTGCGCTTGCCAGGCAGGCATGGCACTACTGAGCAACATCCTAGGCAGATATGCCTTATTTTATTTTATTTTTTTTGGTACCGGGAATTGAACTCCTGTCCTTGCACTTGGGAGGCAGGCGCTGGAACCATTGAGCCAAATCCCTGGCCCATGCCTTCACTTTTGATCTAGGGGTGTCAGAAACAAGTTATGAGACTTTTGATTTGCTGTCCAACTGCTAACTACCTCTGAATCCACACACAGTGAGCCAAATTAGTTGGCACCAGAGAAAACTTTGTCCTGGTATGAGACATATTTTCCCCTCTCAAATGACAATTAAGTAAATTACTGCATTTCTTCCTATAATTTGCTCATCAAAGAGCTTCAGGGCAGAACTGACTCTCTAAGCCAGAGCCATTTTATTAAATAAATAGGCCATCCATAGAGGCTTTCCCCTTCTATTCCCATCTCTGCTTTTTCCTTTTCATTTCTAAGTTTACTAATTTTAGTTAAATTTTTTTCAACAAATGGGTTGAATATTCAAATGGCCAATAAATAAAAGACTGCTCAACTTTAGTCATCAAGAAATAATTCACATATAATCCAAGTTATAAATCTTAAATTTTAGGCCTTGATGTACTTTTGCCTATGTTTACAACATGCATAGCCACCCAGGCTAAGAAACTCTTTTTAGAAGATTCTCTCATGCTACATGCCCCCATCACGGTTCTGACTCTTCTGAGATGGGGTCTCACAGTCTTCCTGCCTCAGCTTCCCAGAGTGCTGAGCTTACAAGTGTGGACCATCGTACCTGGCCTGTTTTTAAACTTCACATTACTAGAATCATAGTGTGAACTCCTCTGTGGTGGGCTTCTTTTACTCCATAACTATTTTTGAGTTTTAGCTCTATCTCACACAATAGTTTTTTTCTTTCTGCTGAGTATACTTTCATTGTATGAATATATTTTAAGTTTTTTTTGTTTGTCTGTTTTGTTATTGGTACCAGGGATATTAAACTCGGGGCCCTTGTGCTTTCAAGGCAGGCGGCAGAACCAATGAGCTAAATCCCCAGCCCTATTTTAAGTTTTTTATCAATTCTGTGTATTTGGCTGTTACACTTTGGCTGTTACCAATTCTTGCCTTTTATGAATAAAGCTAATGCTTCTATGGGCCAGGGATTTAGCTCAGTGGTTCTACCACCTGCCTCACAAGTGCAAGGTCCTGAGCTTGATTTTCAATACCCACCCGGCAAAAGCTAATGCTTCTGAATTTTTTTTTTTTTTTTTGTACTGGGGATTGAACTCAGGTCCTTGTGCTTGCAAGGCAGGTGGCAGAACCACTGAGCTAAATCCCTGGCCCACTTCTGAATTTTATTACTTAAAAAAAAAAAAAAAAAAGACTTATTACAGGACATTTAAAGAGGTTTCAACTCCATAACAAAAGGATGAATACCTTCTACATCCCTCTCTTGGTGACTTTCCCTGCCTAGTGGTCCTACAGTCCTTCAGAAACCAAACCCCAGTAGTAAGATATAAGAAATGATGGCCCTGTGTATCCAGAGCTGCTGCCCAGGAACATGGGTTCCCTCGCTTTTCGTTTAGTCCCTACAGCTCCCAGGACTCCCATCTAACACTGGAGGGCTTCAAGGAAAAACAAAACTAAAAGATGGGTGATACACATGTAAAGGTTCCCGATGATAAATGTACTTAATGGGGAAAAAAAAAAAAAAAAAAAAAAAAAATGGATGCTATGAACTGAATAATTCCTTAGAAATCCCAGAACCTACTTAGCATGTAGGCTTGAACATGTCTGAAGACTAACACCACCAACAAAGGAGATGGAGGGAAAGAGCCTGGGGAAGAAGGCAGAACTCACTGGTACTTGAAGGGCAGCCGTCTGGATGGGGGTGGTGAGGGCAGTGAGGGCTGGGTTCTGGACTGCAGCCATGACAGGGCTGCCATCTGTCTTCAGTGTGGTCAAAACAAGAGAATCTGTCTTGATGATCTGAGGCTGGACCAGGACCTGGATGAAGAAAAAAGAAAAGGAAAAAGAAGATAGAATTGTTTTTCATATTTTGCATTTGTTTCTTATTACACAGACCCTTTAAACAAAGACCAAGAAAATATAATGTTCATGAAACCGAGAAAACACGAAATCTCACAGAAGCTATGTCCAAAGCTGGCTATTTTATAGAGCCTGAATGCTGGGTAGAGGGGTAGACAAAAGATAGCTAGAGAGGGTCCTGAGTCTTAAGGCTTCACACTTCAAGGAGGGCAGTGCCAACTAGCTGTCTGGCAGGAGCAGAGTGGGGATGAGTTGCAGCGGATGGCTGAGGAAGAAAAGTTTGACTCGGGACAAACTCACAAAGGCCAGGAATGTGGTTGAGAAGCAAAAAATAGTTAACCTGTTTTGTTTTTTTAAAGATAAATTACTACCAGGTATGGTGGTGCACACCTATAATTCCAGCACTCTGGGAGGCTGAGGCAGGAGGATCACAAATTTGAGCCTAGCCTGGATAACTAAGTGACTTAAGACCCTGCCTCAAAATAAAAAACAAACAGGGCCAGGCATTAACTCAGGGGCACCATGCCTGTCTCACAATCGCAAGGTCGTGAATTTGATCCCAGGTACCAAAACAAACAAATAAATAAAATAAAAAACAAAAAATGCGCTAGGGATGTAGCTCAGTGCAAAGGCCCTGAATTCAATCTCCAGTGCTGGGGGAAGAAATACACATTACTTTGTTAGTAAGAAAATAAAAACAATATAAGCTCCTTCCTAAAAAAGTAATAATGTTTAGTAGTTACTAAATAGGAAAAACAAAAAAATTACAAGGATGAAAATCATCTGAGAGACAGAATTTGTGCATTTCTTTCCTGTTTTATAGATTATGTGTCAGTGAACACTATCCCAGCCCTTCCCAAGCATGTGTGGATACAGTCCAAGATCTCTGCATCTGGGACCCCGATGCCCCATTAGTCCTACAAGATGCTCCATGTATTGGCTGGCTCGTGCTTCTCAGGATGCAGGACAAATCTTCAACCAAGAACTGGCCAACAGCCCCAACCAGGACCTCGTGGAATCCATTCCAGCCACGTACCGGGACCTGCTGCACCTGGGGCGCAGCAACTGTCTGCACCGTGGCCGGGGCGAGAGTCTGCAGTGTGCCATTGGCTGTTTGTGTCAGCACCCGCTGGGCTTGTACTGTCTGCACCTGCTGCTGGATGGTGACTGGCTGTACCTGGGAGGATGTCACCAGGCTTTGGACTTGAGGCTGAAGGACTTGGGGAAGAGGAGAAAGAAGTCACATGGATGAGGAATGCAGACTGTCAATGTAGCTGCAGTAATAATCCAAAGATGGAGCATCTCATAAAAATTCCAACTACCCACCTGCTGCTGAAAAGATGCGCACAGCCATTTATAAGCTGGTTTAGAGAGTAAGAACATCACATAAGGGCTACATCAATTTCTGAGGGAACAAGTACGAATCATTTTGCGACTTCCTCTGGGTGCAGGGGTGGAGATAGGGGAAGCTAATCAACAAATGACTGCACCCAGCAGCAGAGTTAATGTTGAAAATCAACAACTCCCCGGGTCTTTACTTCTTCTCACCTTTTCTACATGGAAAATGTACAATGTTTTCCCTTTATCTCCCCCTCCTTCTTTAAACTATCAAGAGCCTTTCAAATTCAGGAACATCCCACCCAAGGATCCCCAGTCAGTGGGATGAAGTACATCACAAAGATGAGCACTCGCTCAGACACAGCACCATTTTTTGGCGGTGGTACTGGGGATTGAATCAAAGGCCTTGCATGTGGTAGGCAAGTTTTCTACCATTGAGCTACATACAACCCCGGCATTTTTTATTTTGAGATAGGGTCTCATTAAATTGCCGAGACTGTCTTTCAACTTGCAATCCTCCTGCTTCAGCCTCCCAAGTAGCCAGGATTGCAGCACGTACTACACACCTAGCTTGCAGCACCTATTTTTAAAGCTGTATTCATTTCCACAATGTTTGCTCAGGAGCTGTTTGCTCAATGAGTGGTTCTCAACTGTGGGCCTGATCCCGGTACTACTTTAGCTAAGTTTTGGGCCTAATTTTATTCATGACTGTGACTGATTTTATTCAAGGCTGTACCTCCAGTTATCAGGATGGTCCTCTGTCTATCATGCTTGTTGGATCTGATTACCCTTGAAGAAGGCCCAACAGATATTAAAGTCTTTGAGCAAGCATTAAGGTTTTTGAGCAAGCAGAATGTGAAGCAGTCCTTTACCAATTCATACTATCAAGGACCAGAAACTCAGGACTAAACTGACACACTCTGTCATCCTTGAAAAGGACCAAACCATCCACACAGTGTCTATAAACAGACACACAACTCCGGAACCAACCAATAATTTAGAGATTCAACTTCTGAATCACCTTGGAAGCTGGTGGCTGCATTCTGGTATATGAGAGGCTGTTGGATGATCCTCGTCTGAGGAGCAGTACTGAACGTTGGGGTGATCATTACTGTCTGCTGCTGCAGCTGGGCTGGAGGCTGGGGCTGGGGCTGGGGCCGAGGCTGGAGAACAGGAGTTGCCCTCGGTGGGGTAGGAACTGCAGGCGGAGGGACTTTGACTTGCAGGGTTGGAGCCTGGGGGGAAGGAGCCGAAGAAGAGAAGGAAGACAACGGGACCTGGCTAAATGACCGCTGCAAGGAGGGGTCCACAGCTCCGCTACTGCTGCCCCTGCCACTGTTGCTGCTGCTGGAGCTGCTGCTGTTGCCACTTCCATTGCCACCTCCTCCACTGCTGCCACTACCACCTCCGCTGGGGAAGGAGCTACACAGCTGCTCTGAAAACAAGTCGGGGAACTCTCCCACTTGATTGCTGACAAACTGCAGCATCTCTGTGAACAAAGGAAAAGGAGCAATTTTTAGTGCCACACAATATATTAACTTTCCAATTTTGCTTAAGAAACTGAGGCATAGGAATTAAAAGTTGCAGCTCACTGGCAGAGCACTTGTCTACCTTGTGCAGGGCCCCCTGAATTCCAGAGAGAGAAAAAATACAAACAACTGAGCCATGAAAACCCAATGGCTTTTCTAAAACCATGGCTGAAATGGAAGGGAAAGACAATGAGACAGAGGGGGAATCAAGGTTTTGGAGCACACCAGCCTTAGCCTAAGAAGCCACCCCCAATCTCAGCACTGCCCCAGGGGGCAGCACAATAGCTCTAAGGGTCTGCTTGTACTGTCCCAGACCCCACCTTGCCTTCACTCTGCTCACCACCAGGAAAACTCTGTGTCTCCTCTCCAACCATGGCAACACTGGTGTCCTCAAAAGCACTCTGGGATAACGAAGTTGATAGCTCCCAAATCAAAGATTTTTAGGGGTAGAAAGGAAGAAAAGATCACTTATGAAGTCCAAAGCAGGGACAAAGGTCACACAGCTTTCCAAGGACACTGCCAGTTCTCTGCTGCCCGCTCTGTTCTCCACTTGACCACAGCTGAGCAGCATCAGGAGGGCACAGCAGAGCAAACACCCCTGTGCTGAACTCCATCTCACAGGGCCCTCTGCCCTCCTCTAGCAGGAACCCTTCTCTTTGAGCGAGGCATCTGTGGGCCACGCGGCTGCATCTTCCTGGAGACTACGCCCCCACCTCCAAGCCCTCAATCATCAGCCCCAAAGGCTCACATCTGCCTCCAGAGCTTCTTCCCAAAGATGCATGTGCCAAGCCCAACCTGCTCCACAGCTAACAACTCATCCCTCATCACTTGGATCTAACTAACTTGGGTCTTTGAACTTGTGAGGCAGGCAACAAAACTCCTGAGCTAAATCCCCATCCCTGTTCCACTTATTTTTAAATCTGTAACTGTTCACTGCCCCTATTCTCCATTTTCTCTCTAACACATTCCCAAGAAGCTATGGCTTGTTTTTATTAGTTTTTTTATTAGTATGTTTATGACACATAAGAATTACATTAATTTTGGAGAAATAGTATATACACCTGCTGCATCTTATCCCAATCCAGATCCTGTTCCTATTTCTTTACAAAGATCACCCCCCTTGTTTCCTATCATTTTTTTTTTATTTTGCTCTTTATTTATATTGAGTTTCTCAAATAAGAGAAAACATATTTAACCTTCTGGGTATGATTTATTTCATTTAAGCATTATAATCTCAATGTACATTCATTTCCCACAAGTGACTCAAATCTGTCCTTCTTTATGGCTGGGTAGTATTTATTTCACTGTGTATGTGCATACATGTATTTTCTTTATCCATTTATCTGTTGATGGACTTACAGGCCACCTCCAAACTATTAAGAGTTGTGTTGCCACAAACATGGGTACGCATGTATCACTGTAATATGATGTCCTTAGCTCTTTGGAGAAGATGTCTGGAAGATGTATAGCTGGGTCAAATGAAATTTCTATTTGCTACTGCTTGTTCTTAAATCATGGTTCCCTTTCTCTAAATGCACACAGGAGGTATCTGTGGCAATGAAGAGTTACATGTTGGGCAAGCAGAACGCTGTTTCTAGTGTGGCTGCCATATGGGCTAATTGAAGCTTAGCAATTCAATTTCAGCACCATAAGCACTATCAGTTTGCTGGGCAAAACAGGGTTTCAGCAGATTAAATTCCTAAAGTGGCGCATCTTACCAGCACCTTGACCCTCTGCTCTGCCCTCACTCAACCTATTGTGTATGGGAGACAGAAGTGGGCAAATGTCCAGATACTACAACTCCTACCAATCAAGTCCAATTCCAGATTACAAATACCTCTAAGAAAATGACCAAAGAACCCTAACAAGTTTCAAGCTTTCTAAAACTTCCATAAAATTCTAACTCTGGGACATGAACACTGACAATCAACTCTGCTTTTCAGAGGCCCTCACTTGTTTTCCCCATGGAAAGCTGAGAGCAGAAAGCAGGGTTGCCCTGGGTGTGAATCTAAAGATGCAGCCCAAATAGCTGTATGAATGTGGGATAGTTACTTCCCTCTACGCCTCAGTTTCCTCACCACAGAAGGTTGTCTGGAGAATACAATGGACCTCTGCTCTGAGAGCATTATTATCAATAAGATAATACATGCAAAGTGGCTGGTGAGGGGCAGGCCCTTATGAAGCTCCCTATTAGTGGTATATCTAGAGCACCCTCTGCACAGCACTTGGACCTGTTTATTTCACCTCATCAAGTACTCTCAAAAGCCTGCGGGGGAAGATACGGGCTGGTGTGCAAAGGTCACAAGGCTTAGTTCACAAAGCAGGACAAGAGTGTGTAGGCTGATGGAATGTGACTGCTTTAATTTAAAAGGAAAAAAAGCCTCTCAACCCCCACATAGAAAGCTCCAGTGGAGCCATCTCCAGTCAGCCAGGCAGCTGGGCCTGGCTGAGTGGTACACAGGGGCCTGTTAAAATGAGCATCTGCAGTTAGAGCGACATGAGGCTGTGGGGGGCTCTGCTCCAGCAGGGCAGGAAGCAGTGCACAAAATCCTTTGGGTTCCTATCCAGCCTTCAGTGCCAAAGGACAGGAGGCCTGGAGAAGTGAGGAACAGCCCCCAGGAGCAGTCTTGCTCTGTAACTCTTAGCTCCACCCTGTGGGAGCATCATAATGTCTCTTCACTGCTCTCTGCTGCGATCATTTGTGTTCTGCGATTACACAGGCTCTCAATTCAGCAGAGGGCCATGAAACACAGAAAAGGGAGGCCTGGGAGAAGGTTTTATGGAGCTGTGAAAATGAAATTCAGGTTCTTGATACAGCCCACAGAGCCCAGAGCCAGAGACTTCCTAGGAACTGGGCCAACATACCCAAGTTCACCTCATTTCCCCTTCAAGTCACATTTCTGCTTTTAGCTGATTCTTAAACTTACGTCTAAATTGTGTAATAAAGTACGTGGGGCCCGAAGAAATTTATTTGGGTTGTCTCTTTAAAAGCAAGCAACCATAGGGCCAGGGATTTGGCTCAGTGGTTCTACTGCCTGCTTCACAAGCACAAGGGCCTGAGTTTGATCAATAGTACAAAAAAAA